CTCAAACACTTCCAGTAATGCTTATTTAGTGTTTGCATTGTGGTGGCACGTGTCCAAAAGAGAGAGCAAAGGGAAACAATAAGTTGCCTGCTCAAGAGCTGACATCATAGTGTGAAATTTAAGTACTTGTTTTTGTGGTATTGTTATTAATCATGGGTCTGTGCAGGGGTCATCCTGTAATTCCAGCTACTGGAGTCCTGTGAATGCAAAGCTTGGCCTGAGAGTTTTCCTAGAGCTGTCTTTCATCTTCAGGTCTCCTGTATAGCAAACACACCAGAAGAACACTGTTCCAATTTGTCTTAAGCTTAACAAAAAATGTGTTTCTTGTATTGTAATTCCTGAATTTGTTGTCTGTTTTATTAGCAATATATTTCATAGGAAGGTTTGGGACCACTCAAGCATTTTATCTGTGAATAAGGTTTACTTGTCTTATTTTACAGCTGCTTATTAGATGTTCCCACAGAGCTTTTTTTCCCAATTGTGGCATTATTTGGGGCTTTAGTTAGTAAAATAGAAGAGGTGGACCTGGCAACCTTTCCACTTGATTCCACAGGTGGACAAGTCCACCTGTTCACCGCTGACATAACCAGGCATTATAATGTATTTAATGAGGGTTAGCTTGGTGTTTGTTTTCTGGACCTTCTTATGCTCTTCAGCTAGAGACAAATGTACAGAATATGGGTAAGGTGAAATCTCTGGCTCAGAGGCTGTGATTTCTCCTCCTCAGCTATCACATACAGCACTAGCATGGTGCTGGCCTTCAGGAGCCTTCAAATGCCGTTTGAAGCTGCTGGCCTGGCACAATAAAACACAATATGTGAATGGGTGTGGGAGTACCTTGGAACAAATGGCATTTTCATCCAGCTTTATTCCCAAGTTCAATGAAGAAAATTATTTCTAATGGAAAGGCTGAAGTGTTCCTAAATCCATTTCAAACACACATTTATTCACTTCTCCTCCCTCTTTAAAAAGGTGGCAGTGGTTCTCTAGGTCTGTTTCTGTAGTTTAGGTTTACTTCCCTAAAATCCAACTCATTAAATTATCACATAATATCAAACCTCCAACCTCACCAGTGTGTTTGCAGAACATTATTCAAACTGTCCCAAGGACAACTGCTGATAGCAACACTTCTGGGCAGTGCCAGCCTCAACATCTTAGGACCCACTGCAGTTGTGCCTGCTTCTTTTATGCGTGGTTTAGAAGTTTTATAATCCTTTATCTTTTTGACGGTGAAAGTTAAACACCATAAACATTCAAGTTGATTTATATGGGAGGTTTGCTTTTGTAACCCATTCCTTCTGTTCTTGTGTGACTCCTGGCTCTGTAATCCAGAAGCACAGAGAGGGGGAATATCTGTTTGAGTGTCAAGGTGATCAGTAAAGCTGTTACCAAAGGCCTTCACTGGCCCAGCTCATTTTCCTTGAGAGGTCCAAAGGCTGTGGAAAACAACTCCAAAAAGGTCTGGGACTGTGTAGGACTAGTGGGACCCACTCCCACTGACAGTAAAACAGGACTGCCCTGAGGGCTGAACTGTTGTCTCCAAATAAAATCTCTGTGTTGGGAGAATGACACCACCCAGATTAAAAGGCTGGTCAGTCAAAGCGGTGGGGCCAGAGACAGACATGCAAAAATGTCTTCAAAGCACACCAGGGTGAGGACCATAAATTGTGCGAATAAAAATGCACTTCCCAAGAGCCAAAGTCATAACTTCCCATTGCTTCCCAGAACAAATCCCGTCTGCTCTGTTTATTAGGTGGGACTGTGTATAGGCAGTCACTCTAAGTGTGTTTATTTTGAACTCATCAGTTCAGTAATCTCAGGCAGCTCTGGGAGATTTAACTCAGATAGAGGATTAGGCTGGGGGTCGTGGGGTCAGTGATATTAAGATAGAGAGAAGGGAAGGAAACAGCGTTGTTTTTGTGGCACTATCTGAACAGTAAGGAAAAATAAATTTGGGTTGTAAGCTGGCTTTAACCTGACTCTGAAAGAAATGGTCTACAAATCCAGCCAGGAAGCAGACAACTGTGATGAGACCCCAATTCTCTTTAAATTTGTTTTGAGCCACCCGACCAAAATCCATGGTTGTTATGGCTTGATTAAGCAAGAAATCAGAAAATTCTAGAAATTCTTCTAGAAATCAGTTAATTACATATTCAAGTGTTCAAGTTTCTGATTTTAACTTTCCTTCTGAAATAAAATCTCTGGAGTAGCTTTTGGGGCAGTGCTGAGCTCCCCACAATGACAGCAGCATGGTGGATGGGTTCAGCTGGTGGCCTCCAGGTCCTAAAGCTGCTCTGAGGCAGCAAGCAGAGAAATTAATGTCCTGGCACCAATGAAATCATGGGGGGCCATCTGCCAAAAACTGCAAAATAATTCATTCTCTCTCATTTGGAGTCTTTGGTGTCTTATAAGATGTGAACTCATACAGTAAACTACTCTGCAGGATGATTTTTGAGGAATACATAGACAATTTTCTTCAAGATCTTTAGCCTACTGTAAATGTGACTGAAATAATGTAATAGGTTCCAAACTTATTCACAGAAGAAAGACACAGCATTAATGCACAGGACTGGTTTCCCCAGAATAAAAAAAAAAAAAAAAAAAAGGGTGGGGGAGAGCATTGGGAGTAAAGTTAAAGTAAGTAAGGATTTGTTTATTGCCTTCTTAATATTTTATCATAAAACACACGGTCTTGCCTCAGGGCTTGTTGGTGGTTTGTATATGTGTGTGTGCCTGTGTGTATACATATTTTTGTATATAAAAATCCAGTAATATCCATTGTTTAAAAAATCAAAAATGAGAAGGATTTTGCTAAAAGCATTTTGGGAAAACCTCTGCTCTCATTTTTCCTGTCAATGTTTTTCTAAGCTTTTATTTTTATTAGTCAAAATGTTTAGAATCCCCAGGAAATCCTGGGATGAACCATTTCCTCTTTGAGCTGTAGCCCTTAGGGGAAGAAGAAAAAGCTCAGATTCTTTCAAACGTTAGAAATTTTTCAAACTGTGTCTTTTGCATATTTTTTAAATTAGAGAAAAACCGAGTTAGGAAGATGCTTAACTTCAAGCCGTGGTCCTGGGAAAGCTTGATCTCTTTGTAGAAAAGCCTGAAGAGACCCTTAGATCTAGGCAAGGAAATCTTTTAGGCTTGGCTCTTAATGGGGAACTGATCGCCAAATTGAGGTATGACAGGTTCAGTTGAAAGACATCTTTTTTTTTTTTAAATGTAAATTAAAAACTAGCATTTGCTTTTCCTCAACCCAGTTTGTGTATGTTAGTTAGCATGTAACAGCTTTTTATTGAGGCTGTTAGTGCCTCAATAAAATAATGCCTCAATTAATAATGACCCTTTGTTATTATTAAAATTACTAACATTATTGATGTTATTATTGACAATTAAATATCCAATACCCTTTTTTTATATACATGAGATTTTGCAACTTCCTCTCCTTCACCTTCAGATAAACTTCAATGGGAATCATGATTTTAAACTAAGAGAAACTTTCATCCTGCAAATACATATGTAAATTGCTGATTTAAACTCCTCTTGGGTTCACTCCTTGAAGTGGGTTCAGTTGCTAAAATTTAAGAAGGTAAGAATTCAGGTCCTAGACTGAAACTCAGCAGGAATTACCTTGCCTAGATTTTGAGATTGTTGTTATTCTCTGGGAAGGATGGGGCACTGCTGTTATAAATGAGAAAAGCTTAAAGAGTGGTGAAATATGAGACTGAGGGGTGCAGGAGTCTTTTCGTGAAAAATGACACCCCAATATAATTTTTCAGAAGTCTGCATTCACAGACTTTTGTCACCATTCTATGCATTCACTCTTTGTCACCACATTCCACTTAGTTTTAGGAAAAGTGTGTTTATTTATTTATATAATTCATGACAAAAGTCTTCACTGCTGTTCTTCTGATTTATTAATCTACTTTTTATTGAGTTTCTTCAGAAGGTTCTTGGAAAGCAGAACATGTAAAGCCCAGACTTGGTGGTTCAATAACTGATATATATTACTCCCACAGTCTGTCACAAATCTAAAAAGATTTTTGGTAGTTCATGTGAAATTTTGTGGTCCTTTTTTAATTTGTTTTTTTTGTTGTTGTTGTTGTTGTTGAGGAGGTGTGGAGGGTTTTTTGTGGTGGGGGTCTTTTTCTTTGTTTGCTTGGGTTTTTTAAGGCTTGTTTGCTAATTCAAGGGGAAAAAAATTAAGGACTTTAAAATTGTGGTGGGGGTCTTTTTCTTTGTTTGCTTGGGGTTTTTTAGGCTTTGTTTGGTAATTCAAGGGGAAAAAAATTAAGGACTTAAAAAAAATATTTAAGGACCTTTTTTTTTTTTTTGGTTACCCAAAATTAGACAGTAAATAGTGCTTCCGCTTTTTTGGGGTTATTTTTAGGTTTGGGATGGGGATAGTGGACCAGTCTTTTGGGACAGTGTTACAGATCTCTTTCTCTGTTCTCACTTTGCAAATGGGTGGGTGAAGGAGGAAAGACAAAAGGAGGGAGACTAGTAATAAATTTCCTAAAGTTTCTGTTATTACAAGCATGCACAAGTTCCCATACAACACCTTTGACTTCAGAAGTTCAGAAGATTTTGATTTTTTTCTCAAAAACCTGTCAACTGAGTTTGGGGTTTGGATTTAAACTAGGGTACAGGAAACAGTCAGAAGCACTAGACCTTTCCTCATTCAGGGGAGTTTCCATTCCAGTGTCTGTCATGAAGTAAATTAACCAGCACAGAGAGCCCCAGAGTTCTGAGACTGTGACCTCTGAGCAATATGTATCTGTGTAAAGTTATACTCTGTGGAGAATATTATAGGGTCTTGCACCTGAATGCTTTTCCATTTGGGAATGCCTAAAGACCATCCCTTGTTGCTGTGGGCCTTGTTGCTGGGATAAAGGAATGGACTTCAGGTGCAGGAAGGTCTTTCAAAGTTTTGTCCTTTAGTCCTTGTTGTTTTGATTCCTACTATCTTTAACTTCCTTTTCCTGGCTGTGTTTCTGCAGGTGCTGTTTGCTCTAAACCAAACTCTGCTCCAACACGAAAGCCTTCGAGCAGGGAGTTTGCAGGCCCCTTACACCACTGAGGATCTCATCAAGCACTACAACTGTGGAGACCTGAATGCTGTGATATTCAACCATGACACTTCTCAGGTGAGCAGAATTGTTCCAGATGGGCCAGAGAATTGAGGAAAAATCAGCTGCTTTAATAGCAATATCCCAGTCATCACTTCGTATTCTGATTCCTCTTTCCCCTCTTCCTTTTAGTTTTCTTTCCACACGTGCCTCATTTTCCTGATGAGAGAGTGGAATTTCCCTGGTTTTGCTCAGGCTCTGGGGAATCATAGAATGGTTTAGGTTCAAAAAGACCTCCAAGATCATTGAGTTAACTGCTAAGCCAGCACTGCCAAGTCCACAGCTAAACCGTGTGCCCAAGCACCACATCCACACATCTTTTAAATACCTCCTGGGATGGTGACTCCAACACTGCTCTGAGCAGCCTGTTCCAATGCTTGACAGCCCTTTGGATTAATAAATTTTTCCTACGTCCAACCCAAACCTCCCCTGGTGCCACTTGAGGCTGTTTCCTCTTGTCCTATTGCTTGTTACTAGGAGCAAGGAATGGACTGCCTGGAAAACTTTCCAAGGGATGTTCTTGAAAAAAGGTTAATTCTGGATGTTGGGACTGTTGAATGCAGACTCCTCATTAAGGGTGGAGGGGGAATCTTTGTAATGTTTGAGCTTATATATGAAGAGGAAGTAGACCTTATGTAAATACTCTATAAAGTAAATAACCTCTCAAACATGTCATAATTCAATAATTTTGTGTGTGTCTCAGACAGCCCTTCAGTCTCTGTTTATCTTAGTTGTCCAAAGCTATTAAAAACTCTCAAGGGAGCAGAAATCTGCTTTCCAGAGCAGTTTGATGCTTCATGTCAAACTGAGATTCCTCTTTCTCCTTTCTAGTTAATTCTATGAAAACTTGGTCTTTGGATGTCATCTCCATCTCCTCTTTTTGGGATCAATATTCTCAGATTCCAGTTTCAGGGCACCTGGGGCAAACCTGTGTAAATTTGACAGCCACAGTGTTGTATGTGTCTTGGCAGTGAAAGAATTAAATCATGATAGCAGTCCACCATTAGCAAATGGAAATCAAGGAGAGCTGTGTGACTTCCAGAGAGAGCTGAGACGAGGTAAGGTCAGTCTGTGGATTGGGGCAGACATTTTTATCTTGCCATCACTGTCTTGGGTTGCACAGGGCTCTGTGGGTCACTTTTTTCTCAGCAGAATACCTGGGCAGGCAAGTGGGGCCCCAACATGGGATAAAACCCCTTTGGTGTCCCAGTTAACTCAGTCCTAGAAAATGAAGCATTGTTTTAGTATGACTGAGCAGGACATACCAGGGTGGTTAACGTGGCAGCACTGAAACACAAAAGTGTGTCATACAAAAGCTGCCAGAGCTGTTCATTCTGGTCAGCCTTGCATTGAAAAGTAAGGGGAGAAAGCAACTTGAGTAGGAATATGTCTTTAAAGATAGAGAATATGAGTTGGAAAAGGTAGAGAGCTCATGACTTTAGAGGAGCTGAAGAAGTCAGTGGTTGTAGCTATTCCTGAAATTTTGAGGCACAGCACACACGATAAACAAGGAATAAACAAGCAAGATACAGTGGAATATTTGCTGTGGATGCTGTGAAAGGACTGCTAGTAGTCAAACCCATAAAGACAGTCCTGGTCTCTGAATGTTCTGTGTCACCTTTTAATCTCCACCAGTGTAATTTCTCCTAATAAGTAAAGCCTTTATCCCTAAGATGTTGTGGTCCTTCATAGCAGTTGCATGGACTCACAGACACCTCTGATTTATTGACACATTGTCCTATAACAGACCTGTGGGCTAGACTTGAGAGGAACCGTTTGGTGTAAAAACTTCTTTATTCCTGCAAATTATTGGATTAAGTGTGAGTTTCAAAACAGTGTTAAAGACAGAAGAAAGAAGCCAACAACCAGTCAGAGTTCAAGCACTGGTGTTAGTCATGGTCCCAGGGTGCACACAGTTGATGGAGATTATAACGCTTACAGGCCATGGAAAATTAAAATCCCTCTCTGTATACTGGTCCCTGCAGAACTCTAAATATTGTGCAGTACTGTTGGGTAAAGAGTTTTTTTGTTTGGTAGTGTTTTTATAAACCAGCTCTATGCCATTTATTTTAACTGCAAGCAGAACAAAATAGAAAATTAAAATGTAAAATAAACTCCCTATTCAAGTCAGGTTTTGCCAGTTGGGGTCATTCCAGAGTTTGTTCTCTGTGGTTTTTTGCAAGGATGAAAGACTGTCTGTCATGGAGAGTTTTTGCTATTTGGTTACCAAATTAGATTAGCCTGACTCAGATATTACACATGAAAGATTCCCCATGGGATCTCTCTCTGGAGACATTAAATGTAGGCACAGGGATTTATCATTTGCTGAGTCTGTTGCAGTTCAGGGCAGGTACCCATGCCAGTCTTGGGACAAGAGTGCCACAGTGATTTTAGAGGGTGTCCCTTCTTCCATGATCTCCTGCTGCAGGCCCAGCTCTTTAGAGGGCTGATAAGAATTGAAGCTGATACTGTTACCACATCCTTGAAATACCCCATAGAATGGAGAAAAAGATCAGAAATGGGACTGCAAGAATCAACACCCATGTGAATGCTGGAGGCCAGGGAATTCAGCTCCGTCTGGAGCAGCTCAGGAGAACTGCAGAAGGATGGGACTCACTCTTTGAGAACTAATTTGGGATGCTGTTTAAGGTTATTCATGTCTGCTTGTCCCTTGAAGGTTATCAGGAGCTGCAGAATAAAGGTAAACTGTCCATCAGTTGGCTCAGTTCAGAGCTGATGGTTGAGGTGGCTGTGATGGACTGGGAAGGAGGTGACACAGCCCAAGGTCGCTGTGGGGACAGTGGCAGGGAGAGTATTTATGTGGGTGCAGTAACTTCCTAAATGCCTCTAGTGTGACTCTTCAGAGATGAAGCAGCTTCAGTAGCTGTCTGCAAGATGCTGAGGTGCCTTTAGTGCAAAAATCATCTTGGAGCAGAAAGGACCAGAAGAGGAAATACCAGCACTGTTAACCTGATGTGTTACAGATAAGTTCCTTGAGCCTCTTCAGCCTCCCCAAGAGAGTTTGGGAAGTGTGAGATTTCCTGCACATCCCTGAGTCCTGCAGCATTTGGCAGGAGAGGGCAGAGTCCTTCTGGTTCCAAGACTGTGCCAAGGGGGTGCACAGACAGGATGGTGCTGGGAGGAAAGGTGCAAGGAAAGGTACTTCCTGGTCCAAAGAAGGTTTTAGGTCAGAGGACAGCTCCTTTGTCACCTATGGGTAGGGACAGGACCACCCCAGGGAGATGCTGCTCACATTGGGCTTGGGAAGTGCAGCTTAGCCAGGGTGCCCAGAATGAAGGGGTGTGAGCAGGGCCCCATGTCCTTGACTCTTTCCTTTCCCAGAGCCATCAGCCCTGATGAGAGCAGAGGAATAAACAAATCCTTCTCAGTTTCAGTGGGTTTTTAAAATTTTATTTTAATTAAGAACAGTGAAAGAGGAAACACCTCTGCTTTCCTGTGGTTATACTACATTCATCATTCCTCTCCCTCTGTTTTTTTAACTTTGTTTGCAAGCAGCATTTTTCCAAATGTAAAAATCCGTATTTAAACTTAGTAAAATTTTATGGGGGTGAGTTTAATAAGTTAGACTATGACCCAAAAGTGCAGTAGGAAACATCTCTCTTTTTTCAATAGCCTTCTTCAAACACTTGATTCTCTTGTGACTTTTGCAATCAAGAGGCTTATGTTGAGGCTTCTGGGCAGAGAGTCAAAATGATACCAAAGAGAAAGTATTCTAAGCTAAAGATAGGATGGGTGTATTGTCTGCTCAGCTTCTTTCTCTGCTTTTGTAAATGTTCCCTAAAAGCAAAAATGGATTGGATTGGATTGTATTAGATCAGTAGCTTTAACTTCTGTATTCTGTCTGAAGCTCTCAGTAGGGAATTGAGGTCAGTGTGTTCAGAAGTATTAAAATGCAAAAAATCTGTTATCTCAGAATTAGAAAATTATCTGTCTCCAGATGAAATTGTGTTCACCTGAGACAGCTGAGAAATTGCCTAATGACCCGAAGCCTCCATGAAGAAAGTAAGGTGCAGAGCAATTTATTGTGTGGGGTTTTTCACATCAGTTACTTCCTGTGGTCAGTTTTGAGGTATTCAGTTTTAAAGGATAGTTCTGTAAAGCAAATTCATCTTTGCCAGCACTGAATTAGCTTGTTCTATGTTTCTTTGTACCCTATGTACTCTTTATTAAGAAGAAAATTGAAAATCCAAGGCTTGGATTTTTGTCCTTCAGCCTTTCCCAAAAACTGTGGCTGTGGTCTCCAGCTATTGTCTCTCATCTTCTGTCCCCAGCCATTCTCCTGACCTGAGGAGAGGCTCCTCTCCCAGGAGAAGATGGTTTTTCCTTTCTCATTGCTGATCTGGCCCGTCAGTGACCTGAGCTTTGCTGATCACTTTGTAGACAGTTTCTATTGGCCCAACTACCCAGGTTTCATACTTATTATTTGCCTGTCTCATTTAGGGTAAACAGCATGGGACAAGAGTCATACCTGACACTTCCAAAGCATCTTTCATCCAGGGAGCCTTTATGGTTTGTGTGTTAGATTGTATTGAGAGCCCACTGAAGTAAAGGAGAATATTTCCCTGCCTTCAGCAGGGTTTGCATTCATCCAGCAGCACAGCCATCACTGGATATCAAAGTGAATAAATCAAGTGAGTGACTAACCCATTTTACAGGCTTTGTGCCCAGCTCAGCATAAAGATCTTCTCACTGACAGCAGGTCTAAGGTCTTGACTTCATCCCACAAGGTTAAACAAGCTGTGCAGTGAAGTTGTTTGGTGGTCACCACAGCTTACAGACAGCTCTCAACCACAGCTCTCAACCCCTTTCAGGTGCTGTGCCTCCTCCTTCAAGCTGTGTCTGTCAGAAACAGCCAAGCTTTTTGGATACCTTATCGAATGATGCCATCCATATCTCATGTTGTCTCTGCAGTTTGAAGTACCATGGGTGGATTTAGATAGGGAGTGTTGCCTTCTGGAAAGCCTATGATGATCTTGATAACATGACATTAGAGATTC